AATTGCTCGGAACGTTCGGCAACCGTTCGTTTCGCCGTCGATACGATTCGTTTAGCGACCGAGGAATTAATTATACCAAAGTATAATCAGTTTCGCTCGCGGTAAAAATAAACGCTGGCGCGACGGGGATCGCGGCTCTCTCGAATAAAATTAATCGAATAATTAATTCAGAATTTTATGGAAGGTGGACGGAAAAATTAGCGAGCAAACTCGCCCGGTTTCCAGTAAAATCTTGGTCGTTCCCGGTGGCGTTATTAAACGCTAGGTGCATAAATAAGGATGTCGTAAATCATCTGGCAGAATTTTAGATAGGAGAAAAACGCCGGGTTTCGAGCTATCATTTGAATAAACTTTTGCGGAAGACTTTAGATCCGAGTTTTATTTAACGGTTAGATCGAATCGGCGATTTTTAATGACCGACCCCTTCCCGCGTAGCGGGAGCCAACGTTACAATCGTTTCCCCTCTTTAATATTAAAACTAGAATTTTTTTTTCCTTTCCCTTGACGGACAAGCGTCGTTTGTTCTATGCGTTATTACGTTTGCGGCCGACATTTCGGTGGTCGCCCGAAACCGCCGTGAATTATTAGACCCGAGGCACGCGGCATGTGTAACGATAACGATAAATTTTCCATATCGTGGAATGTAAATACTACTGTGTTCGAAGGTGTTAAATCGCGAAGATGAACGACTGCCTGTACGATTCGTGCCTAAGCTTGCACGCCGGAGCAACCCCGCGAAAACGGTGGGGACCGGTTTCATTAAGAATTCACGGTCTTCTTCGTGCCGGCTAAATTATACATTTCCAAATACCTTCGGGGATCGACTGTTGTAAATTATTATCGAGTCCCACGTTCGATCCACATCTCGAATCGTTTCGTTTCTCCTCCACTCTGTCGTAATACGCTACTCGGGCACCATTCACCGCAATTCAATTAGCGCACACGGACTTTTGGGTTACGCTTTCCTGTAAATACCCTATCGGTGCAACCATCTACTCTCTTCCACGCTGATCTATCGGAATGTCATTTATAACATCGATATGCAAGGGAATTACGAAATCGCGGAGATGAAAAGAGAGTTCGTCGAAATTGAAATTTTAACGCGGTACCGGAAACGAGGTGACGGCCGATAGCTCTCTTTGTAACGCGTAAAACGGTCATTAAACCGATGCGGAGTCTATCAAAAGTTCCATGCATAGATTATACGCGTTTCTTCGTAATGCGCGCGAGCAATTCGGCGAGGAGGAGTGCCTCCACGACCGCTACAACGAAAAAAAAAAAAAAAGAAAAATAAAAAAAGAGAAAGAAAAAACGGGAAAAAGCGCGGAGAAAGATAGTTCGACGATCGGAACGCTACGCCGGCGGGCTTTTCGCCGTCGAAACCCCTTTTTCGTGCGCCGAAACGCCGACATGGCGCAAAAATAACAGTGGTTGATCCGGATAAATAGCGGGGCAAGCCGTGAACGGGGCGAAAACGTTACTAAATCCGTGGGCCGGCCCACGCGAAACGGAAGGCCCTCTGAATCATCGTGAAATCGATGATTAAAGCACGACCACCGGGCCGAAGGAGTCGCGCGATACCACGCGCAAACGCGACCGTCTGATGGGAACAAACGATGAAAACGGAAAGGGTAGTCTGTAAGAGGGGTGGAAGGAAACCAAAGGCCTTAATAACGAGCGGCGCAACATCCGCGAAATGGCGATTTTTCGTGTTCACTCGTAGTTTATCCGTCTGAAATTACGTTTACCCTCAGCGGCGGTTCTATTCGGTGGCGAGTGGCGCGCGTGCAAGGAGGACGATCCCCGACGAAAAGGGGAGCGACGTGATCCGCGACACGAACCAGCGTCGTGAAAGGAAACCCGCGTCAAAAGGGGAAAGAAAAAAAAAAAAGAAAAAAAGAAAAAGACGAAAAATTTCTTCGTATAATTTTCACTTCTATTTGTTCCGGCTACCCTCTCGTCGGACGCGTTTAATAAATTCGGGGAAGTTTAACGGGAAAGACTGCGCGGCCCCGAGCCCGAGTTAAGTGAAAGGGGTGCGCGCGCGAGGGGTGAGAACGGAGAATCGAGCCGGATTGTCGATAACAGGAACGTTTCGGTCCCGTTTTCTTCTCCCGTAACATAGTAATCTACGAGCTGGGCCAATTACGCGAAGTAACCAGAAGTTCCCGGTGGCCTGTCGATACACGCCACTCGAATCACGACAAATTGACGTGGCCGGAACCCTTGCAAAGTCAACGGGAATCCCGCCCTTTCGTTTCGCGATCGATTGTCGCCGTGTCAGCCGCGCGAATTAATCCTTCCCGGCCGAAGAAACGTTCCTCTTTTTCGTTCCTTCCCGTTCTTCCGTTGTTCGCTCGTCGTTGTTTGCGCCCGTCGTGTTCGCGCCGCCGGAAAATCCGTGTTTCGAGCTATTCCCGATCACGGGGGCGGAAGCAGCAAGGGCGCGGGGGAAAAATTGTTTCGAGACGACGGAGAAACGGTGCTTGGCGAAATTTGCACGCGCGCGAAAGCGGAGGTCGCTTAATCCCCCGAAATAGTGGCTGCCACGAGGACCGATAACGGGTCGTGTGTGTGGGCTTTGCACCTGCACACCACTCCGCCTGGCCAACAATGGGCCGTGCACTCGCTTTAATGGCTCGCCCCCGATCGAGATTAAACCTTGCACACTTTGCCGATTCTAAGGCGGCCCCCGCGTGCGTGTATTATGCAGAGCGGAAGCCGGCGTGGCCGGGTCGAAGCGACCAGTCGAACGGGAACTCGATCGAAGGAACGACCGTGTTTTGTTTGATCGCGTTCCATGTGGAAAATTGGCTACCGTCGCGTTTATTGCGGCATACGTGTACGCGCGCGTACGCGACGTCTCGCGACGAAGATTGGAAAGAGTTATTTGTACAACGTACGGTGTACACATACGTATCTGGTATTAGCGCTCGGAATGGCGTAGATACGTATGTTATCTCGCGTGCGAATTAAAATCGCTCCGGAACGCAAATATTAGAATTCGTATCCGGGCGAATTTAAAAATGCAAAAGTCTTTTCACCGAGGTTTTTCTCGCGTATGTTTCACGAGGTTGCTCGACGTGAAAGAAAGGAGGAAAGATTAATACCCCCGATGGGTATCGAAAAGATTCATTTTGCTTGAAAAACACGATCGCGCAAGGACTGACTGTAAAGCAATTAATTAATAGGCGTTTGGATGGTGGCTGATCATTAAGTCGGGAGCACTTCCGTGTCATCGATCGGTTCGTTACGGGTGTTTTCTCTCTTTCCGTTTCTTCGCGCCGACGGGATTTTTATAATAACATTAAAGGGCAGGGGCTGGCAATTTCTTGCTTCGTCGGAATCGACGGGATGCACGGGGTAGAAGAAAGGTCGCATTTAATTCATCGATTTATTTTTAATGGAACGATTTTGTTTTAAGAGGCGAAAGCTGCTTTCCCCGATAAGGCGATTACACTCCGCTTTAAATCAAACGACCAGTGATCCACGCGAACAACGAACGCAACGTCGACCGGATTAGAATCGAGCGAAAACATCTTTTGAAGCGACTGAAGATTTGGAAATAAGTAGAAAACTCCGATGTCGAAGGAGAAACGCGGGCTCCCGTGCTTCATCGTCTACGACGAACACGCTTTCCCGTTCCCATTGTACTTCGTAACGGGCAAAGCTTTAAAAGTTCCCCGTGAATCCAGCAATAAGGTACCCTTTAACGAAGAAGGCTCTTGCAAAGTATTGCGAGGAAGAAGGGTAGACTATAACGTAGAATTCCTCTCGAAAGTTTACTATTCCGCGGGACCGATACTTTCGCGTTCGTTCCTCGAGTACACTCGAGAATAAAGTGTCACGCGTACGAGAGTCAACCAAAATGTCGGTTTACCGTGGTAATACCGTGATCGATCGTCCTACGTCATTTTTCGTTTTTATCCGACGTAAAAGTATAAAAAAATACGCGATATCGAGGGCGAAAAATTTCGCAAAGTACAAGTATTTCTAACGTGCTTGAATTCGGGATTCAAGTTTTCTGCATGACACTCGTATCTCTGTACATACACACCGTGGTACCATTAACACGAAATAAGCGAGTACGAGTTCATCTGTCCTACCACGAACGCATACTGCGCTTTTAAAACTACTGCAAACCTCTGTTTCTACTAACACATTGTCCTCTTGTCATTTGCTAACACGCGTACCTCGTGAATATCGAACATCTTTTGTTGCTAACATCCTACAAAAATGCTATCACGACTCGTTTGCGAGTAACCAAAACGAAAAAGAAGAAAAAGAAAGAGAATTAATCGAATCCCATTTTCGAGTAAAAAGATTGAAACGCTTATGAATGTTGTCCGATTGTAAATACCTTCCAAAGCTTCACGATTCAAGCTGCGAGGGGGGGAAAGGAATCGAAACTCGAAGTCAAAGGGCACTTGCAAGATCTCCAGTTCATCTCTCATCGGCGCCATTGATTCTCGTTAAAGAAATTCATTTCATCGAATCTTCGTGACTTGTCATTGTCCCCTGGGGTGACACTCTTGCTCACGTGACGATTGCAGGTGCAATTATCGTAATTCCTGTTCGGTGGACGTACGCAGCGAGATTTTCGAGGAGGACCCGTGTCCCGGAACCGGAAAGTACATCGAGGCGCAGTACTATTGTCTAGGTTGGTGCACACTTTTCTTTCCGATCGACGAATCTTCCTTCGTCGACGGGTTACACGCGGACTCGGGTTCACGATTTTTCCAAGACCCGCCGCGAACTCTGCGACGGTGAAAATGGCGGAGAAACGTGGTAAACGCGTGGAAATATCTTGGAGAAAGGCGTGAACCTTGGAGGTTACGAAGAAGCAAAGAAAGGTGCGAATTTCGTCGAAAAAGTCTCTGCATTCGCATATCCCTTCCTCGAGCATCCATGACGGTAAGAGAAAAGGGACAGGATCCATGGTTCAGTACACTTTGGTAAGGGTGTACGTTTGTCATGTTAACCGACCAATCGCAACCCAGGTGCAACGACCAGCAGAACTGCAGCATTGTTGCATCGACGCTGCAATTCGGCGATCCCTGTCCCAACACGCACAAGTACCTCGAGGCGCATTATCGTTGCCTGTCCGGTAAGTAAGACTCCGCCATTTTTGTACGCGCCCTTCCCTTCGTAATATCTCTGTACCCTGTATCGTTTATTCTACGAGCGGTCTTCCGTAGATACCGGCGAACGATCGCATAGGCGCCGACTTCGCGGTCATTTTCGAGATCCTCCTTCCCGGAATGGCAGAAAGGATTTTATTTTTTTTTTTTTTTTCAAAATTGCGTTTCAAGATTATCCCTTATATCTGTTACGTATATACACAGGTTACGCGAGTATTCGTAACGTAGACTGGAAAAAATTGTTCATTTTTCTGAAAGATCGACTAGTTTTTTTCAAGAAAAGATTAAATAAAACAGCCAGATCGCTTCCATTTTCAGAAGTATCGATATTCGTTCTTGTCGAACGCGGGAAAATTCGAGTATACGAGTTTTATCGACGAAATGCTGGGAAACGATTCCACGCGTCTGGAGATTCTCGTTTTCCGGGCGAAAGAGCACTCGATATTCGCTTTTCCATCGCGGTACGTCACTGACTGGTAAAAAGCTGTTCAGCTGACCGCGAGGATCGATTAGAATTTCCCGAACCCGGCGCTTATGATTCACGTTGCCCACGTAACTGCGAGCCCGTGTCCCGATAAAGATCTTCCAGCGGCTTGCATCGGCTATGCACTCTCGAGACAGACGGAGTATAAAGTGGAGAAAAGAAAAGATGGCAAAGAGAAAAGGGAGGGAGAGAGAGAAGGAGAGGTGGAAGAGTTCGCGAAGACGTGATCTTTGCGATCGAGAAATCGATCGTTGGGATCGGTAACGCGGACGAATACGCGGCTGCACGTCCAACTTTTCTGACGTGTTTCGTATCGTAATGAAACTCTTCTACGACCCAATAAGAGCAAATAACAAAATAGAGAGAGAGAGAGAGAGAGAGAGAGAGAGGAAGAGATGCAGGAAGATTGCTGCAAGCATCGATCGTTACGCTCGATGGTACTGCGATTCGACTGTGACGAAACGGTGTTTCGGCATGTTATTGCGAATCTGCATCACGAGCTACGATTAATTTCCCTTCGATCTATTATTATTAATATTCGTATTAATTTCACCGCTGGATATTCACTCGCGTGTAATATCGTAACGTTCTTGCGGTCGTAACCCCGCGAGCAGCGTGACATTTTGGACTCGTGGAAACGCGACTTTCACCGATTAAACATACTCGCGAAAACACGAGCGAAGCAGCCATTGTGACTCGTCGAAAGGTTACCATTTTCACTTACAAATCCTCGGAAAATCGTCGCGTTCGTCGACTCGCGTACGCGCCTCACGGAATGTTGGTAACTTGGGTGTACCGCAGGTGCCGCGGGTTTGGACGCTTTACGATATACAAACAGACTTAACCAATGGCAAACGAACGAAGATGACTTTCCCGACCTTTCGGCGTTAACACCTATCGGTTACGACTTACCAAAACCGCCAGGCGACACAATCACTTATTGGACCATAAACTGTCAACCCTCTGCTCTCTGTCTCTCTGTTTGCCTTTCTCGGCTTCCAACGCCTCGTCCTCGTCTGATCGATATCCAGGAGGCTCGATAGATCGGTCTAACCGACGTACATTCAAGAGGGAGTAAGGGATCTGTTGGTAGCCCCGATACCACGAGCCAGAAAGCCTCTCCACTTCTCCCTCGCTTGTCTCTCAGCGTGCATACGGCTGTCTTTCTCCTGCATAGCCGACTATCGTAACGGACATCGGCGACGTCCGGTATTTTACCTTATCGCCAACCCCTTCGGCCAATAAAGATGACCCCTATAGAGATAGTACCGCGAAATACGCGGACCATCCCGTTCAGGGATTAACTGCCGTCGCCATCTTGGGTTAAAGATCGTTTTCTCCTCTTAGGCCAGATATAGTCGCGATATCGGCCGCGAAGGTAGGCTAATCCTGTCGCTTGCTTCGCTTCGACTCGCCTCGCCTCGCCTCGTCTCGCCTCGTCTCGCCTCGTCTCGCCTCGTCCCGCTTTGCCTCGCCTCGCCGTACCTCGTTTCGCCTCGCCTTACCTCGCATCGTGGCCAGGAGCTTTCGTTTTCGGGAATATTTCTGTCGCGAGCGATACAGCGTCACGACTGTTCAACCCGAGCATCGAACCATCCGGGTCCTCAGGATGTCCGTTATAGAACGCGCGTATATATACGTCCGAGATACGGGAATGCCAGAATGGGCTTGGGCGATCGTGGAGAGTAGAATCGCGGGTTCTCGGTAGCACCCCCATCGTGTGCCCTTCCTTGGTACGCGATATCCATGGCACGGTTCGCGAAGCAAGAAGACGGGAGAGTCAGTTTTAATCGGTAAAGTCATTCGGCCGCTGGAAATTGTTTCGGTTATTAAGTTTGGGGAAAATGAAATTTCGTTGAAGTCATCCATCGCGATCACCGTCGCCGTGATTAATTCTCGTCCGACCCCGAGGACTCGAGGAAAAGAAAAAGGCGCGCTTGAATCAACGAGATTAAAGAGGTTTTCACCGTGACGTGGCAATTCCACGAGAAACAAAGTGCGACCGTTAGTTTCTGGCCGTAAGAGAGAGGAAACGTTTCGATGAGAATCGGCGAGAGATTGATCCCTACCCCCGTAGCTGCAACGAGGTTTAAAATATCCCCGTCGTTTGAGCCGGCTGAGGAGCTCGTCTACCCGGGTCTGCCTTCGAGCTCCTCGAATCACTTTCCTTCTTAATTATACTCGGCGTTCGAATCCGATAAGCTCGTAGACGAGCTCTTAGGATCCTCGAGCGACCCTCCCGAAAGTTGGCGTCTCTCCTTTTCGCGTGTACGCCATCAGCCCGCGTTCCATTTCAAACCCCCCGTGCGCCCTGCCCTCTACGACGAATTAAAACGAACCTCGACGAAACACTTGCAGCGGCAACAACCACGATAACGTCCCGTCCGAGTCCGCCGTGGTTCATGACTTCTCAGCCGAGCGTTTGGAGCACAGCTAAGCCGACTGTCAGGCCTCCCTCGAGGATTACGACACCCCCGGCTCAACAGCCGCCGCAGCCGCCAGCACCGTCCACCCCGGCGCTCCCAATAACCACCACGCCAAGGTCAGTACACTTTACACACGAGGTCTTGTCGTTGCAGATCTTTTCTCGCTTTGCTCTTTTTAATTTTCAGTTATCGAGATTGAACGTTTGCTATTTTTCCTTTTAAAGATTGCGTTTTAGAAAGTTCCGAAGGACGAGATTTACCGTAATTTTTAATAACACGGCGAAAGAGGTCGGGATATTTTTCCAAGTGGATCGTGAAATAATAAGGATTTTCTTGGACGTTCGACGGTCACGTAACATTGTCACGATTCGAGGGATATTCCTTGGGTGTGAGCAAGAAAAACAAAGTTATCGGAACGTTCCATTAAAAGTGGAATCGTATTAGGTTTCCCCGACGGGGAAATATTTTCGTTATATCGTTAGTTGGGCGCACATAGGTGGCAAAGTTCGACAGCACGAGCGTCATTGAAAGTGACAAACCCCTTCCATTTTGCAGTTCCACGTCGTCGTCGGTCGATATGGTGTTCGTGGTGGACCAAGACTTAATATCTCCTGCAAATGTTCCGTCTGCGAATGGACCAGCAGTGCCTCCGATCGTTCCTGAAACCACTCCGGCCACAACCACGTCGACCTTTGCTCCTTGGAGAACGAGTCGAAGGACCACTGGTAAGTTCTCGAGTGTTTGAGCGGCCTTCTTAAACGAGAGAAGAGCGTTGATGGCGTTTTGATAAAGAGGGCACAGAATGTATCGTTTATTTTATCATCGAGGTCGAGACGATGCTCGAGTACTTGCTCGAGAAGAAAGCTAATTGCTTTTCGATTCGATCGTCGCGCGCTGAAATAGCAACTGGCGAGAACGATGAATTATTAATGTAATTAATTACTAATTTCGCGTTAAAACAAGACTCGACGGATAGATATGCATAGGCTATTCGAAGCATCATCGGTCGATTATAGCTGACACGTTTACTCGCGAGGGCTTGTCAGCTGTCAATTACAGTCTACGATCGTACCGAAAGGATTAGCGTTCGAAAGGCAGCTGTCAAGAAGTTGGAAGTTCCAAGAATGGGTGGATATCGATGGCGGAGGGAACTTCATAAAGATATCTGGAACGAAATCTATCTCGAGTTACCCTTTATTTTTTCACCCATTTTCTCGCCCGTTCTCGACATATCCCTAGAGTGGTTGCACGGTGTAAATGCAACCGCGCGCTAAAGTAGCGAGCAAATACCGCAGTCAGCGTATAAATCGTATCAGCTAACCAGCCTTCGACTTCGATGTACCTCGGGAACTCGTAACAATCACTGCAAAAGATTAAGGCACCCCTGGGTATCCAAAATTCCATTTCGCAGACCCGATACGATGTTGCTCGCGAGCTAAGCCCCGGTCCACCGGGGACCGGACACTAGAATCACATTAAAGCCGCGCCATTAACTAAAGCCAAGTAACCGGCCAACTAACGCTCGTAACTAACTCAAATATTCCAGTGCCGAGCACGCTGTACCCAGAGTCCAGCTCGAATGGCCAATGGTACGACTACGGTAGACAAGTGTGTCCCCCGGTGATAGCCAGGAACCTGTCGTGGAACACGACCAGAGCCGGCGACGTGGCTGTTCAGAGTTGTCCAGGCGGTGCCAACGGTTTGGCGCGCTGGAGGTGCCGTGGCAGAGGAGACACGGCTTTCTGGCATCGGGACAGTCCGGATCTGAGCGAGTGCCGCTCCGTTTGGCTCACCACGCTCGAGAACCGAGTGACAGAGGGCGACGTGATCCTTGGAATCAGTCGAGAGCTGTCGCAGGTGACAAACAACAGCAGAGGTCTCTACGGTGGCGACATGATGATCACGACCAAGATCATAAAGAACATGGCGGAGAAAATGGCACAGGACATAAGGACGTACCAGGACTCGAATCAGAGGGAGGTCAGCGTGACCGAGCTGCTGCAAGGTGTCGTGAGGACAGGGAGCAACCTGCTGGACAAGGCTCAAATGGCCTCCTGGAAGGATCTTAGCCACCAGGAACAGATGAGAGTCGCGACCTCCTTATTGATCGGGCTCGAGGAGAACGCGTTTTTGTTAGCCGACACGCTGATGCACGAGAAAACGATCACTCACGAGGGAAGGAATATACGTGAGTACATGATCATTTTTGTTTTAATCGCGCCAACGCGTTGTCGCGTATCGCGGTGAAAAGTTTGCAATTTCTCGCGTTCCGTCGAAACGCGCGATATATACCAATGGTGAACTGCAATCCGGACACTCGTGGAATCTCGAATCGGTGGAAGTTATATCGCGGGATGTTCTCGTGGAATGGTAAAAATTAGCCAAGAACTAATTTAGATGGTGCCGATAGGACGCGAGAGAGAAAGGAGGACGAGCCGCGACGAGTAAAAAGGAGTGGCAGACGGGATAACGAATTAACGTTGAGTTGTCTAGTACAATGGACATGCAAGTATCCGTAGGTCCGACTTTAGCATCGGGTCGCATAAATCTAGATCCCTTATCTACGGAATGCGACGCTGGTAATATCCGGCGTAGATAAAACAAAGATCCAAACCCATCGTAATTCTCTGGTACCTAGCTGGATAATGTTGTAACCCGAGCTTTACCTCTCTCCCTACCCGGCATTAACACAACAAAACCCCGAGAAAATTACGAGCAATTTGATTTACTTCCTGGAAGTAACGTAGCGCGCGGTCGTGATTGAGGCTGGAAGCAAGTTTCTGCGTCGCGGTCGAACGAAGTAGCACCAACATTAGATCCGCACGTGATAAATAGCATAACAGTAAAGGGCAAAAAGAAGATGAGTTTGATGAGCGACAGCCGGCCGGATGCCATGTAACATAATATTCCCCCGTCTGACCGTGCTCTTTCTTCCGTGCTAACAGAAAACTAGCTACTATCGCCAGCCAGCCTCCAATTTTTCTCCTCTGCCACGCCGTCACGTTTATGACTGATCGAATGGAATATACGATGAGAGGAACACCGACGACAGCGAAAAAATGCTAGACAGAGAGATACGCGCGTTTAGTTTTATTGTTCGTCCGAGAAGATAAATCGAGTAGCGGAACTTTATGGTCGCGGGATTGACGAACGTCGCGGAGTTCGGTTAACGCCATCCTCTTCGGGACGCGCAATACCTTTCGTGGGTATAAATTTTATTTCGATGCGCCACGTGGACATGTCTCCGCGGAATATTGCGTTGCAAAGTTCGAGAGTAGAGGCCAAGGTTGTGACAGGGATGATTGGTTTCTCCGTCCCGATGAAGGATTAAAATGAGAAGATTCAGCGAATTTCGTATCGCGCGTGAAACATCCTAGATCCTGCGAGACGTCTCGCGTATACGTCGCGATACCGTACGATGTGCACGATTTCAAATATCCTTATCTCGTTTTCTCTTAAAACAGTAATGGAAGTGCGGGTATTGGATGCCCGGAACATCGGTGACGATTTAGAGGTGTTCCCAACGGAGGCTGCTCAACAGAGGTGGACAGCGTCGAACGATCGTGTCGAGTTAACCAGAGGAGCTTTACTGGAGAACAGCGAGGGTGGTATTGTCCGTTTGGTCTTCATGGCCTTTGACAGGCTCGAGGAGATCCTGCAGCCGCAAGCCGAGGTATCATCGTTGGTCATGAACGACGAGCCACAGCCATTGCCGAAAAGGAACACGACCAGGCTTCTAAATAGCAAAGTGATCTCCGCGTCTCTGGGCAAAGGAAGGCACATACAGCTCAGCGAGCCCGTCAGGGTCTACTTCAAGCATCTGTCCATTGAGAACGTCACCAATCCAACCTGCGTATTCTGGGATTACATCTTGAGGTGAGTCTTCGTCTCTAATTACGCCGCTCTCGTCCATTCGTAGCGTCGTTAAAGGATTTTAACGTTGAAACGACGAAACCTTATTTTTATACGATTTACTCATACGATTATTTTTCAGTGCTTGGTCGGAGGAGGGTTGCGAGATACGGAAGACCAACGAGACTCATACCGTCTGCGAGTGCAATCATCTTACTAATTTTGCCGTTCTAATGGACGTTCACGCTGTTAGACTGGATATCGCTCACCAGGTCGCGTTACAAATCATCACGTATATCGGATGCATCATTTCCGTGGTTTGCCTGGTTCTAGCAATTTTGACCTTTCAATTATTTCGCGGACTGAAGGTAATTATTCCGTACTGAATTTTACATCGGTCGCAACGAATGAACGCGCTACGATTATACACATCGAATTTCCATGGAATATCTGGTGATTTTATTACAGTCGGACAGAACGACCATCCACAAGAATCTCTGCGTGTGCCTGTTGATAGCGGAAATTTTATTCGTTTGTGGAATCGGACAAACGAACCAAAGAATTGTCTGCGGTATCGTCGCCGGATTATTGCACTTCTTTTTCCTTTGCGCGTTCGCCTGGATGTTCCTTGAAGGTATTTCTCGAATATTAACCGCAACGGCGTCGTTCGTCGAACCGTAGAACGGGCGATAAACACCGAAACGAGAGAGAAATAACGACTACGAAACGAAACGAGAGAACGAGTTTGATTTTATTCCAATTTTCTTGTAGGTTTCCAATTATACGTAATGCTGATCGAAGTGTTCGAAGCGGAGAAATCAAGGTTACGCTGGTATTATCTGGTCGCTTACGGTGCCCCGTTGCTGGTCGTTGCCATCTCTTGTATAATCGATCCCCTCAGTTATGGCACCGATCGGTATTGCTGGCTACGAGCGGACAACTACTTCATCTTCAGCTTCGTTGGACCAGTGATACTCGTTATACTGGTAAGATGATTATTCGCGAGAAAGAAAATTGTAAGAGAAATCTCGATCGTTTCACGTTGTATTAACATGATGTTGATATTTTTGAAGCATCGAATGTTTCGATGAAACATAAAGACAAATGACCGCTGTTATACGCATATACGCGTGTTGCGCGTAGATTCGTCCGAGGATGAACACGATACGGAAGCTTCTTATCTCGTTTTCTTATTAGGCAAACTTGGTATTCCTGTCGATGGCTATTTACATGATGTGCCGGCACGCAAACACGACCGTAGCGATGAAGAGTAAGGAGCACTCTCGATTGGCCAGTGCAAGGTAAGCCTAGAAATTCCGGGCTTGTCCGTACGAACAAAGCGTAACGACGAATTTGTATATATATATATTATGTAACTCTATATTGAAGTAATCGATCGAGTCCGTCCGTTAACACGTTCGAGTTATCAATCCTATCGTCGAGTAGAATCGAAATGTTTGTTTGGTGCTTTCGGTTCACGTTCGCAAGCTTTACTTGCTTAAAGAGATCTCCCGAAAGAGAGTCTTTTATTGTTCACGCATCTTTCTGGCGGCCATGCTGAGTTCGTTTTTTCGTTTTTATATTTCCGTTTTATTGAGTTACTGTGTTGGAATGACCGCAAGATTTCCGTTCGTTCGACACACCACTTGTATTGCTGTAAATCTTAGGTACTATATGGATATGGTTATACATATATATTTATTATATATACATGTATCTATGATTTGATAACGCTCGTTATACGTGAATATAAACGCCGTCACAGTCGAGTCATGCTTCAACGAGAAATTGGACGCACGTACAATCGAACGAGTACCACGATAATTAGCCTGTGCTCTGTGTTTTCTGTGATTTAAATGAAACGAGTAAAAATATATCGAATGAAAAGAGAGAGACAGTAATAACGACACGGTGTTAACTTGATAAATCTCTGTATGGAAATGTTGGTGATGGTAGTTAAATTCTCCTGCAAACTCGACTCGTTTTATTATCAAAGCTGCCTCGACGTAAAAACTCATTTTTTCTCTTTGTTTTTTCCTTTTATTTTTTATTTTATTTTTTTTTATTTTTTTTTTTTGGTTATTCTTTGGTCATTCTGTATCCTTTTTGCGTTTCATTTTCATCTTTTACTCTAGGGTAATTCGAGTTTGGTTAAACAACTTGAGAATTCTCGTTGTACGCTAGCGCAGCGACACGACTCATAGTAACACGAATCGAGTATTGCATCGGCGAAAGTATAAGTTGAGTCTTTTTTTTTTTTTTTTTTTTTTTTTGATAAACAATTAATTGAAATGGTGCCGGAACAATCACCTAACTTTGCTGTCTTGTTTCATTTTTGTATTAAATCTTCTACCCACTTCTGTCTACACTGTTCTACATTCTTCTGCATGGCGTGGTTGGTTGGTAGTGGAAAGGAAGAGAATGCTCTTCCCAACAAATTGCAAGCGCACTTGTAAGATATTTACCAATTTTTATTATTACTCACCTCTCGTTCATCACTGTCACATCATTCTATACTAATCGTCTTCTCCCGTGCCTTTCTTGATTTCACCATTCTCTTTCATTTAACACGTTCACCGTTTTACCTCTGTTCCTTAATTTCGTTCTCACATTCACAGCTACCGACCATTGTTTCTATTTGTCTACTTTTATTTCTTGCGAATGTAGAACGTAGAACGTAGCAGTCTGTTCGCGAGGAAACGTCACGCTGAACGTCAATAACATAACCATCGATCGTGCGACTCACTGGAATCGCAAATGTCACTGCCGTCATTATTATATTATTTTGTATTGGATGAAACGAGCCTGAGCAATTTGTAATTACCAACAGCTTACGTAGCGAGGTGTCTTGGTGATAATGCCTGACAGAGAGCACGCGAGTAACTACGATCGATATTTTCTCAACTCCTTAGTTACGTCACGCCGTTTGCCTTTCCTCTGAGTACATACGACGATTTAAACCGCATGCCGTATTTATCCTTTAGTTTCGGGTGTAACGCCTGATTTGAGAGTAGTTTAGCGAATACGCGCGAGATTAGAAGTAACAAACACCTGCCTACCTGTGTAGTTCGTGTACCCCCCGATCCTCCCCGTAGATCGTAGCCTTGATCGTCTCTGGCGATTGAAGAAAAGTAAAGAAAAAGGGAAGGAAAAAGAAAATAGAAGGGAAAGAAAGTAAGAAAGAGAGGAGGAAGGGAGGAAGTAAGAAATAGTAATAGTGTGTGCGATGCTTATAGGACGCCAGCCGCTTCGAGACTCGCGAAAACATTAACGATGCTAATGCTTCGTCGGAGAGTGTGTGTGTGTGTGTGTGTGTGTGTGTGTACCTGTGTGTACACGACACGTGCACGCGTGTATAGAAACGAGCAGCATTAGTACACGTTAGCATCGCGCGGCTCGAAATGTTGCGTGCACTTGGGTGCATAACACCGTCCCCTGATAATCTTCCGTGTTCTCGCCGCTCCATTTCGATAAGAACGTGACAAATGTAGCATTGGAATTATTAGAATTAAAGTCACACCACCATCGATCATTTAGCACGTTACCCTTAATTCTTTCGATGGCACGAGGCTAAAGAGATCGTTTCCTTTCACCACCCACCACACTCACACACACACACACACACACACACACACATATACACATACCACCCCTCTGTTTCTCTTCGTCTTGTTTTCTCTCTTGCATTTCCCTCTCTTCTTTTGTATTATACTCTGTCTACGTAAATCCGCCCCGACCCTCATACGATAACTTCACATAGCTCGTTCACTCGTAGCTCCTTTAAGCATCGCTCGCGATTATCTCGTTACGGTGATCCGGAATTGCAGTGCGATTAATTGAACGATGTTTTTCCCGATCAGGGCATGGCTGAGAGGAGCGATCGTCCTGGTCTTCCTGCTGGGACTCACCTGGACCTTCGGGCTTCTCTACTTGAACCAAGAATCCGTCGTGATGGCGTACATCTTCACCATATTGAATAGTCTGCAGGGGCTGTTTATCTTTGTGTTCCATTGCGTTCAGAACGAGAAGGTAAGGGAATACGTCGGGGTCCAAACGTCCACGTTACTTTAAAATCTCTGCGGTCGGTGTCGTTACGCGTGTTTCCACGTTCAATACGCCTCGCTGAATCATCCTTCGTTCTTTCATCTTTCTCCGTGCATTCTCATCGTTACGGAAAGGCAACGAAATTCGCGCGGCATCCCGAACCGCGCGAGAAATCGAGTATTTGCGTGGAAATTGTTGAAAATCGATTACGATAATTATTATCGAAGAAAGGATGTTAAGTTGTTCGGTTGATTATGCGCATATTTTTCCATTTTGTACGATGCAACCGCGTAAACGTTTCGAGAGCAGTGAATCATGTGAACGCGATGCCGAAGGGAAAGAAAGCAAGGATCGAATTGTCGAATTGGAAGTTTATATATATAAAGATTGTAAAACTGTTTCTATCGTAAGGTTTATAGTTAACGCAATTACTCACGAGTAAAGGATCTTGTAACGTAAGAATTCGATGCACTGTGTACGAAAGCGAATTCTTGTTATTATATAAGTAGCAAGTAACTCCATAAGCAAGAGGATCATTTGAGGGGAATCATGTTAAACGCGACGTAATCCTAGACATCGTATGGTATCTCGCAAGCAAACACGATGACAACAAATGACGTCTCAAATAAAGAGCTGTGGCAATCGAAAATCAACCACGTTTATTCGAATCAACCGGGATCCTGTAGCCTAATTTGCAGCTCGTTATCTTGATTTTCAATTGTTTTTCTTTTTTTTTTTTTCCTTTTTTTTTCTTCTTTCTTTTTGAAACAACGTTTATATTTTGGTTGCCACCGCAGGATGCACCGCTCTTTTCCTGATTTATCTGTCTAATTCAGCACCAACGCTTCGTAAACATCGATCATATTCGCGTTTCTCGAGTACACGTTCATCGTTCGCCAATCATCGTTATCCTCGGAAGATCGTCGTTTCCGATCCTTTTATTTTTTCCAATCTTTCGTTTTTATTCTCGCGTGAACGAACGAGAAACGAACGCGCGTGCTCGCACTTGCCTTGGTTCTTTGTGCACCGTTAAAAAGAAACCTTTCGTTCGGGGGGTGGGTTTGCTTCGCCATTGCAGGTGAGGAAGGAATACAGGAAGTTCGTGCGCCGCCACTCCTGGCTGCCCAAGTGCCTGAGGTGCTCGAAGACGGTGGCCGGAAGCTCCGGCGGCTCTTCCGGTACCAGCGGCGGCGCCGGTGGCGCTAACGGCGGCAAGGACTTCACTTCTCACAACACCTCGTCGAACCCTTCGGCGCCTACGACCGACAGCTCCGGATTGTCGCCGCACGCCGCCTCCAATGTGGGTACAACAACGACCACGTCACCGCCGAACAATCACAACAACCTGACCGCCGCCTGTAACAATACGAATCTTTCGATAAACGTGAACCTGAACAATTTGTCGCTGAGGTCGCCGGTCGGGGCACACCAGATGCACATGATGGCACCTAGCAACCACAATAGGCATCCCGCTCAGCAAGGTATCCGATAGCCGCTTCTACACCAAACCGAGAAAACGAATTTCTCTTTTCGTACCGTTGTTCGATCAATTTTGACAGCCGTATATCTGTCTCACGGGAGCAAACGTACGATCGAAAGAGGGAATTTTTTTGGAGGAGGAGGAGGAGGAGGACGAGTAAAAATAGGTCTCTCTCGCTCTCTCTCTAGTTCTCAACTATTCTCTTTGGCTCGCTAACTGGCTCTCCTTTGTCCTCGTTTACTAGCTCTCTATTACTCCACTATTATTCTCTTTCTTTTTTATTATTCCTCTTTTCCGACTATCGCTTGTTTCTGCCAGTAACGCAAGTATGATTAATGGTACTGGAATTAATAACGCACTCCCTCTACCGCCGCTCTGTCGCTCGTTCCATGAACGCCAACCAGCATTTCGAGTTGATAACTTGGCGTAGGTTCTTGCACCTTTATCGGCTGAATTCTTTCGTCCGTCGTCGACCGCGATGAAAACCGAGCACTCGTGTTTTCTTGTTCGCCTGCACGATCATCCATGCGATTAAGAGGAATGGTTTCCGTTGCGGTTGAAACGGCCGCTGCTACGTGACCCTTTCGGCCGAACCTTCCTCTTCGATTTAACGATGCACCCACTGTCACCGTTCCACCAAACGAACACGAGAGTTTCCCGATCGTTACTTCGTGCACCCTCTTCTTTTTCTTCTTCTTCATCATCTTCTTCTTCTTCCTCTTCTTTGTATTCTTCTTCTTCTTCTTCTTCTTCTTCTGTCAAGAATAAGCTCTCGCCCAATCAGCTGGAATCGTCGGTCCCTTTCTTCGAAATTATTACCACGCAATGATTCCGCAAGATCCACGAAGACACGGTTTACAGAGGCAACAGATTCCCCCTGTGATTAGTATTTAGGAACAATACCGCAGAAAATGGAGGGATTTCGAAACGCCCCTATTCAACTAGTTAAGCGTTTAACCACCGTCACCAGCTACACCGTTACCACCCTACTCGACTCTGGTGCGCTCGTGTATGCTAATTCAACCGCGTCGCCTCGTCGTCTTCGGAACACCGCCCTCCAGTTTTCTTCCTCCCGTTGTCTCTCTTCTTCTTCGTCTTCCACTTCTTCGTCTTCTTCTTCCGTTTCTCCTTCTTTTTTTTAATGTGTTACCCCAAGTCTGTTGCAGGATAAATTGCGAAGTGGGTGTCCTCGACCCTCCTAGTCGAGGGAGATTCGTTTCGAATGGCCGCGCGTTCCGCTCGAAAGCGACGCGTGCCAGAAACACTTTTTTAACGTCACCGAGAGTCGCTTCGCCGCCTCGAAAAGCTGGCTCCGGAACGAGACGAGCTAAAAAGGCATTTAACGAACCGTTCGACTCTTTCGGCTCTATCGCGTTCGCTGTGAAGAGAATTTAGAGAGAGAAAAAAAAAATAGAGGGAGTCAGAGAGATAGAGAAAGAGAGAAAGAGGTGTATATATATTCGGAGAGTTAGAGTAGGGACAGGGGGAGAGAGGAGCATGCGAAGAACGATGTTCAGGGGTTGGTTTGGAGGAACAGGAGAAAAAGAGGGAGAGAGAAATAGAGCACTCAAGAAAAACGAGAGAGAGAGAGAGAGAGAGAGAGAGTGAAAGAGAGTGAGAGGGAGGAGAAATTATTGAACGCGGTCATGCCGTAGATTTGTATGATAAAACAACGATACTCGGTTGTAGATGAAACGATAACCACAGCTCGGTGTGCGCGATCGTGTGCCGTTGTATTCTCCGCAAAAATTTATTGCCAATTGTCGGCCGAATTTATCGGATTTGGTAGAGATTACTAGACGCGAGCCGACTGGAAATAATGAACGACGTTACATGACAATTATATAATTGCGCAGCATTGATACCCCACTTTTTTCTTTCTTTTTTCATCCCCTTTTCGTTGCCTGTATTTTTTTTTTCTTTTTTTTTTTTTTTTTTTTTTTTGTTCCGCTACGTTCATCCGCAAATTTGCCACTGGCACACGGGTGTAAATTCACCGAATTTTAGAACGGCTCGTAACGCACGTGCCTCGTGGTTTCCGCGAAAACAAACGACACTCGTACGGCTATACGATGTGCCTTTTCGTTTTTATCTTTATTTATATAGATACATATTTTCCTTTTTTTTTCCACCCCGGCACGCAGTTGTATAATTGTCAACGTGGAGCTCGAACGCGCTCGGGAGATATTAAAAAATCCGTGCTTTCGATTCGAAGGTTCGACAAAACCCGGCAAAATCGAAGGAATAAGGAACGTTTCGTAACGCCACCCCATTCTCGATGAATTCGTATTCGCTCGTATCGTATCGACGTCTCTCTCTCTCTCACACCTTTTCTCTCTCTCTCCCCCTCTCTGTCTCTGTCTCTTTCGAAATTCACGAAAATCTGTTCTCTTTTCTGTGTGAATAGAAAAAAGGGTTTGGAAAGAGAAGGTTGGTGTCGGTGTCGACAAGCGACAAAAACGAGAAAGAACGAAACAAGAGAATTCTCGTCGCGGTAAGCATAGCATTGGTCCTCGAGCACCAGGCGAAAAATACATGGCACGCTCTCTCGCTCGATTTTGCACACCTGTAAACACGCGAACGTACTATTTGCAAGACCTCCTACTAACAAATGGTGATTTTCGTGCTTCTTATCTGGCTCTGGGTTTGGTGTAACGCGGTTGCTGGCTACTTTGTACCCTACTCCCTTCCTTTGTCCCCGTCTCGAGAACGAGACTTACTTTTATTGCGACTGCACGTGAAGCGGGCCAACGTTGTGCACGGCTCGCCATTTATTTCAGATGATGTTCCGGATCGTTAATGAAACGCTTCTCTACGGGCCCGGCACACGCACGAGAGACGTAACGAATCTGTAACATCGATGATTTATACAATCGGCTTCGCAGCTGCGCCTCTGACGACTGACCGCTATTCGCAACACTTTCAGCCTGCGCCCATTTTCTGCTCGCCGTTTTATCCCCGATAAAACGAGTCGCGTCGGCTCGTCCATGGCGAACCGACGCGTCTAATGTAAAGCATGGCAGCGAATAACATTTCAACACTCGCGTGTTACCGAAAGTTATGCGAGTTTCGCGAAACGAACGCCGCGAAAATGGAAGAATTCCGACGGGAAATTTTGTTTCTTCGTGTTTGAAATTTTAACGAGAGACATCGCTGGACGTGCACCTTTTATTTCGTTTGGATAGAACGCGAGTAAAGAGTCGCTAGTTTCTATCGGCAGATTTAAAAGGACAGGTCCAACGTTCCGCGCGCAGTAGCATCTGCTCTAGCAAATCAGCCATGGCTTCCTCGCAAACCTGTTTGTCGCTTATCGACTCCTTTTTACTCTCGAGGCACTGATGCGTGAGCCGACCGGTAACACTGTCGCTAAAGAAGTTTAAACGAATTTCCGTAGACCATGAAGAAAGTATACGTTCAGAAAGATTCGTAATGTACGAGCGAATGTTGTTTTTGCCCGATCGCGTGGACAGAATACGATCGACACGCAAGCGAACATGTCCAAGTCGAACGGAAAATTTCTCCATAACCGTCGAATACCCCCCTCTCGATGTTTGTCCTTCTCGTTCTTCGAATTCTGTCCACGCGATTCAGGAATACCTTTAAGCCGCTTGCTGTCAAGCGATCGTTCGATCGAAGAGCGCTCGAATTAGCTACTCCTTTCGTTTCCTTTCGTAAATATTCCCGCGCTCTTCGATCGACGCCGTCGGTTCGGTTCACAGCCTGACAAACGCACGTGTTCACACGCGTCGAGACGCTCTTTAGACCACTCTCACCTATCACACGACGACCGGTCACTTAACCGCGAAGACGACAGGGTAAACCCGCAAAGGCGAGGGAAATCATCGCCCAACCGATTCGTTTCACATCTCTCTCACCTCCTCCGCAACGCACAAACACACACACACACACACACACACACGCATACAAACACACACGAGTACACGCGCATACGATCACCTTCGCTCTTTGTACACACGCATAAACAGACACGTCGTTCTTTTTTTTTTTTCTATTTTTTTTTCTCTCCCCTCGCTCCGCGCGTTATCGCTAATTAACACCAGGTGCACATTCGCGCGACGAGAGGCGAGGATAAGGTAATACGGATCATCGAAGCCTCTCTAACGATCCAGCTCGCGCTCGAACAGGTCGGAGACGCTCCGCGCTGCATAATCGAAGCACGTTGCACCGGAAAATCCATAATTTTCCGCGTACACGTGGAAAAGTGGCGTGTGCTCGTTGGAACACGGCGGTTTCTTTACGGTCAGTTTTACAACCGGGACACCATTGGTAATTTCGTTCGGTGGATGGATGAAAAGCCTCCGCGATGATCGGTATTACGCTATTTCCTCTCTGCTACAGACGACCCAGTCTCGGCACGGTTGCACGTCAGCCGCGCAAACGAGGAGCCGGTTCCCGACGTTACCTCATTACGGACAGTAAGAAAACAAAGAAGACTCGTTCCTCTCCGCGCCGCGAACTCTGTCGCATCTCACCTTGCTCCATCGCCTTCGTTCCACGCTTTCAAGGAGATACGAACGGACCGATAATCTTGGATCTGTCGATTAACACAGACGCTTTCTCGAACTCGATCGAATTTTCGTAACACGGAATCGAGTTCGAAGCTCGGAGCTGATTTAAATCGAACAAGACGTCTCGAAGAACGAGACGCGGACCGACCGATCGGGTAATCTTCCAAACTGGTTTCGAGAAACATCGATAGGAAATTTATCGGTGGATGGATGAGAAACGAGGAGTGTCGGATGCAAATTTCACGGAATGCCAGAGTGCTGGAAACCTGGTCGCCTGGTTCCTCGGGGAAAAGCGGAAAAATCTCGGCCGGAAGTGGATGGCTCGCGTGACCTGTTCGCGTACGGTCGGAAAACAGGGGTGCGATCGCGTATCGTACGTCCCAGGACACGCGCATACACACACGCACGCACGCATACATACATACGCGCGATATGAAGGTGTGCGTGCTGACGTCGCGTATCTCAGCCCGTTACGCCGTAGATTTGCCCGTGTACGAGTTAAATCCGCCACGCTTCCGGCGAGCATCGCAACCCCGCGAGATACCGTCCGTATCTTCCGTGAGCGCGTTGCTTCCGAAGGGGTCGGGAGGCCCTTTTTAAACCGTGTCACCCGAGATCCGGCTAATCCCTCCTCGCGACGCGAGAACGATTGCACGAGGCGTATTTGTCACGAGCAACCTCGCGTTGCCGGGTTAATTAGTTTCGAGGAGAGAACTCCGGGGAAAGAAGAAAGTCCTCCCGCCGTTGATGGAGAACGTGTGGAGTTTTGTCGAGATTACAAGGACGAGAGGTATTACGGAGCAAGGTGTTTTGCCCAAGGTTCCGTGAGATTCGAGCAACCCTTTGTTTACTGGTAAACCGTGATACCTTTGCGATCGGATATCGGAGCGACGCGTTTGCACCGACCGTTAATCGAAACGATCGCAATGACTTTTCGTTCAACGCTTCGATATTCCCACGGGATATCGTATTCCACTGTTACCCGTCGCGCTAACCCCGTGTCTCCGACGTTAATCGCTCGATCTTTCGAGTATTGCCAGCCGAGGGTGACATACCCCGGTGTATCGTAATACGCGAACAATTACGAGCACCGGCACAACGCGACCCGTGTCATAACTCGCAATTACAGCTCTGCGTACGAATCGCGATTAAGCCTGGATATCTACTTAACCGTCTGATCGGCGAAAACTCGTTTCCGTTGGTGACAGTATCTCGCAACGTCCCATAAGAATATTCCGAAACGATCGATCCACACATATTCACACACCGATTTATCGAGGACACGACACTCGATCATCCCCTTGTGCGTATCAGTAAACGAAGGGTTAAGAGGGAACGGCGAATGGTTCGATTTTTACAGTACTTGGCGTCCGGTCGAAGCTGGGCGATTGTCGATAGGCAGCCGGCAGTAACAGTGCCACGTGAATCCTCTCCAACAGAGGCTCACATCGTGGCCACCCTGCCGTACGCCCGTCACGCCTTCTTACCCTCAGCTCCCAATATCCCCAAATCTGCCACCGCCACTTGGGGCCACCTTAACAAAAACCTCATGTGGAAGGTAACTAACTCACCGCAGCTAAGAAAGAAAAGGCTCGCTCGCTCGCTCGCTCGCTCGTGTCGTGTTGTTTCGATCGAACTTTCCTTTTTCTCTCGCTATGTTCCTCTGCCATTGTTTCTCTAATTGACTGCATGGTGTGCCATGGTTTGTTTCGTTCATTCTCTTTTACGTTTCATTTCTCGACTTGTTTTTTTTTCTTTTTTTTCTTCCGTTCTCACCTTCTCGTTATACGGTACGTTACTTGACAAGCACCTAGAGACACATTTTGCACACTTAGAGGACACCTCGTGGTTCGACGAGACCCGTTGCTTCGAAACCGCATGGAGGTGTGGGGATAATTGTTTCCGGTGGAAAATTGTTCGTCCAACGAGAGCTTGCGTTCCCCCCATTTCCCCTTCTCTGTTTCATCGCGACCGCTTCGTTCTCGAAACCGCGAACTCGTCTCGTTGCCAAGTTCACCGACGAAAGATCGAGACGATCCAGGGACCACACGGTATCTTTCGTCGGTCGAGGCTCGTTCGATCTCGTGAACTTGGAAAGACGACGTTCGCCTGGGCTTTTCCGACTTCGACGCGGATCGCGTGGAACGCGTACTTACACTCTGGGACACGAGACACCGTGTTCAGTTTTTCCTTAAAGATAGACATCTTCTTTACTTTCGTACCTACGGGACGCGTAGCTCGTTTTGTGTGTTTTACGTTTTCGTTCAGTAGTGACAGAATGATACTATGAACGTGTCCTCGTGATCATAGCCTTTGTACATAATGTCATACAGCACGTACGGAATCTTCTCGCTCGTTCCTTCGACCATGCATGCGAGCTCGTGGATTTTGCGAAACGTTCCCGAGCTCACCGAGGTCGATCCTCGGCGAGGCTCACCCTCGCCGCCTCTACACCCCCTATGATTCGAAGGCGTCGCGCGAACGAGGTCCTTGCATTTCCACGACCTAAGGTCTCCTAAGGTCTCCTAAGGTCTCTGTACCGATTTCGGATCGAAGAAATTCTCTTTTCTCTAACTTCTCCGACAACCTGACCAGAAATCACAGGGATCGTCGTTCACGCACTCGCGACTCACCCCTCCCTCGTACATACCAAGTTACACGCCAAGTCACTTTATGTTTCTCGTCCGAAACCATATTCACTCGACCAACCACCCACCGACCTGGTCCACGGTTACTCAAACAAATCTGTCTCTCCCGCAGAACATTTCTTTTAAATCGTATTCCCGTGACTCCGGCCACGGCGGCTCTGAGCAAGAAGACTCGCCTAGGACGCACAACACCCTGACCCTGGGCCATTCCGGACGTAACCGCGGTGCCAGAGGAATGAACGAGAGCAACGAGATCAGCGGCAACAGGACCACCGGTGGAGGCGGCGGTGGCGGCGGTAGAAGGGCCGCCATGCCGTACAAGCACAAGTACACCGAGATCATCGACGGTCGTGCCAACGGACCGGGACATCATCAGCTGCACGCTCATCACGGCCAACACGTGCACCTTCCGCGAGATCTGACGAACGAGGACGAACCAGTTTACGAGGAGATCGAACGCGGCGGCGGTGGCGGAGGCGGCGAGATTCAAGTGTCGGACATGTCCGACGAGGACGGCAGAAGGCAGAGCGACATGAGCAGACAATCGTCGAGAAGTTACGGCGATCACAGGCCGTTGATCCCGTACTCCCCGGCCACCGACAGGAACCTGGTGCATTACGGGCAAACCTTAACGGACCGCGGCGGCGGCGGCGGCGGCGGCGGTGGCGGCGGTGGAAATATGCATTGCGACGCGTCCGAGTACAGCCCCGCGTTCGAGAGAACCCTCAACACTTGCTGGGAGAAGCTACGAAAGCAGCAGCAGCAGGCATGGTACGAGCGTGGCGAGCTGCCTCGACTTCCGGCCAGTTACGGCATCCCGCCTCAGCCAGATCACACGAGAACGGTGGCGGTTCTAGACGGGCACACGGTCGTCTGTCATCTGCAGCCGCAGACGGACATGTACACCGGCCGTGGAATGCCACCGCCTTCCTACAGCGAGTGTTAGGACGCCCTCGGTCAGGGAAGGATCTTGTCGTCCTCTTCGTCTTCCTGCACGAGGACGATGGATGCGCTCCTCGCTGTCGAGACGCCGCGACGTCTCGTGGCTCCCATCCACGAGGCAACGATCCAATGGAACGCATCGTCGGTGAACGTTGTTACAGGATCGCGTCCTCGGCACGCGGCCGCCAGGGTTCGAGACGGTTCGTCGACGCCGATCGCCATCGCCGTGGTTTCCCGTTTAACGCGACGACCGCGTGATTCGTTGCTGAACGGAAGCCACGATTCCGGAACAACCGACGCGTCTCGAGCTACGTTCTCAGTCGGATGAACGAGGTGCGAACGAACGAGGGCAACGCGTTTCTCTAGCTCAAACGTAAAAACGCGACTGGTCGACCAGCACCTCGACGATTGCCGCGTTTCTTAGCCATAAAGCGGGGGCCAGTCACGAGGATGGCCCCGCGACTCTCCTTTGTTTCTGTTTCTGTTTCTGTTTCTGTTTCTTCGGGAATCGCGTGCACCCACCACGGCGGGGGGTGTCCACGCCAACGGACGTGTCTGTCGTCTCCAGTTCTAGAACCGTGCGAGTGTGTGATGGAACGCCAAGGATCTGTGTACGATAGGCGTGAATTATCGAATCGAAACGCAAAATCGGACCTCTTGTTGAAGTTGATCGATCGTCGTTGTACCGTCGAAGCTATGCTCGGCTTTGGGATTGGCTCATTGGCAATGAGAGTGGCGGAATATATGTACGATGTCGTGCGGAGAACGATAAAACGTGACGAGTCCTCTTAGGTTACTAAGATTTTGCTAGGAGAACGCGCTCGCGGAGCTCGGTTTCGAGGCACACACGCGTGCGTATTGTCAACGACTCGAACGAGAGGTGATCGTTGTGTACGCTCGCAATGCTATCGGAGCAAACTTATTTCCTCGCGTTCTTCGGCACGATCCTCTCGTTCGCGGTCGATCTTGCCCTCGAAGCTGGTCCTCGTGCGCGTTGGAAGATCGAGGAACACCATTTCCTCGACCACGATCTCGTCGATGCTCGCTTTGCTCGTTAACGAAAATGATTCGAGGATAATACGAAACACATAACAGACATATCGAGATGGATGGAAGAAACGGTTGGGCCACGAGGGCGTAGAGATCGTTCGTTAACGAGCCCTGCATCGACGAGAATTCGATTTGAATCCCCGAAGGGAATCGGCGACGACTCGATAAAGGAATCTGAAGCCCCCGTGTTTCCTTTCAAGCGTCTCGACTTTCATCGGACCGGGGAGAACACAGCGTTCAGCGACGTATCGCAGGATTGCTGATCGATATCGACCTCGCCACGGAACGTAGAAGAAAACTAAAGTTACTTAATAATCGATCGACGCTTACTTCGACTAATCATTATCGCGTTGCATTAGTGGTCGCATCGTAGAGTTACTTCTATAAAGTCGTCAGACTGCTTTCGTGCAAATTTTTGCGACACCACTCGTGTGGTCGGAAGGCGGCGGTTTCTTCGCGAGACGAAGATCTTCGAGTTCCGGAGTAGGAAGGAACGCGCGTCCATATTCGAGCGAGTTTCGATGATTAAAGAATTGAAATTTCCTTGCAAAGGAAAGTAGAACCGCGGTTTGAAGTACCTTTATCGGTCGTCCCAGCCAGCTCCTCACTGTACATTGCTTTGGAACGTTACGTTTTAGTCCCAGAATGTTATTTTTATAAATAAAAAAAATTATATATATATATAAATGTATATGTATGTATACAGTAACGATATTATATATATATATACATAAAACACGAAGAAAGAGAGAGAAAATGGGCGAGAGTTGTACGAAACAAGTATATATATATATATATATAAATATATATATAGTGATACAAAGCGATTTTCCGAGCGACGTGGAAAAAGCGAAAAAACTTAGTCACTGTTTTTTACTATTTTTTAAAGAACAAAAGGTATATGTCGTAACCGCGTAATCTAATGTGTAACTAAGGGAACCCGCGCGCTATTTATTTTTTATCATCCGTGAGTGTTATCTAATGTGTAAATTAGCGGTCGTGTTGAGGTCGACGATCGGTGACGCGCGAACGTTTGAACGTATAATACGGTTCGAGGTGTATCGAACGATCGATCGATCGGATGGATCGCTGTCAGTCGGTCGTCGAATCGAGTGGCGAAATTTTATGCTTGCAAAGAAGATCCATCGTCGACGAGCGGAAACGTATATATTAAGCGGAGGACGAACGTCGAGCTCTCGATGCGCCATTGTAGCTCGTTGTTCGTCTCGAGGAACCGATATAACTGGAGAAAGATATGTTGGGTTTAACTTAATCGCGAGACGAGATACTTCTTTCCCCGAGCTTTTCCGTTTCGTTCCGTGAAAGATATGTTGGGTTTAACTTAATCGCGAGACGAGATACTTCTTTCCCCGAGCTTTTCCGTTCCGTTCCGTTTCGTTTCATTTCGTTTCATTTCGTTTCGTAATCGTATCGCGATTCTGTGCGCAGAGAAACCTATCGAATCGTGCATAAAGCGACATTCTCTTAACGAAATCGCGCATATTTCCGGTTTCCCGAACGAAAGGAAACACGCGAACGCGGTGAATTCAATATACTCTTTCTCTCGGTTCGACTACGTTTTCATATCGTTTCCATTTTCTTTAATTTATTTCTCTGCTCAGCCGGACCGGCCGTGATCCTTTTCTCCGGCGTAATCGTACGTTAAGGCGGATAAATCTATAGGCGAATTATAAAATAGCGATAATCAGCGTTTAAGGGTACCAGCGTAGCTATACTAAGCGTTACGAACGTTTCCTCCGACCTCTATGAAACGTAATTGCTCATTTTGGCATTGCGCGTGAACCCGTTCGCGGTTATCCTGGTTTTCCATTTCATTTTTTTTTCTCTTTTTTTCTTTCCTCCCTGTTTCTTTAGAGGCCCTTCGCACAAAGCGTAGCTTGAGATAAGAACAAGCATCTGGAAACCGTTTCTGTCCACAAAAAAATGTTAAAGGTAGAACGAAAACGTGTAACCGTGTCGATTGTGTGTATATATCATTTCCAATGCCACGAAATTCTGCCGTCTCGTTTCTTATCTACAGCGTGTAAACGTAAACATTGTACACGCGTTTCTCGGTCGTCGCGTATCGTCGTCGCCGTTGAACATCGTCGAGCCGCGCGTATCCTGGAGCGTCGACTATTCCGTACGCTTTCTTCGACAACTTTTTCGTTCCACTTTTACATTCCTTCGTCGTCACGATGAGCAGCAACCACGCGAGATATCTTTTCCAGTCAATTACAAGAGCGACGCACCGAGGGTTTGCGCGAGTCGATCGGTACCGAGCCGCGGGATCTCGCGTCGTCAATCAAAATAACGAGCTCTCGCGATAACGGAGCGCTGGAAAAATCGTGACGCAAAGACTGGGCTCGCGCCGTTTGATATCGGACGCCTCTCGAGCGTCGCTCGTCAGCGTTCAAAACCTTCATCACGGTACACGTTACGTTTGCGCGACGACGTGTCGCGCGTATTTTTAACTTAAGATTTTCAAATTGTTCGACGCGCGCTCCGCGAGAATCCGCAAGCGCAAGTTGTAGCTGAGACGTTCTTTTCCTTTATAAGCGGCGCTATCGTTCGTTAGAGCTCGCGATTCCAAAGCGAATAGAGGGATGAAAGTTCATCCTTCCTCTCGACGTTCGCGTCGTCGCGTCCCGCGAACGTCATCGCGACGGGGCTTAGTTCTATGAATTTTGTACAAGCGAAAAGTCTTGCCCACGGAACGACTATTACCGGATATAATCGTAAACGCAGCCACATTCCATCCGTTCGACTTATCGTAATCGAGAGAGATAAGAGGGGATTGGGTGTACGAGCCGAGTAGACGGGAACAACTTCGAGCGTACTGAGCCTGATGAATAGGCAATCGTTTCACGATTTTGCGTAATTCTCGTCTGTCTTTTCTTCCTTCTCTTTTTGTTTTTTTTTTCCCTTTTTTTTTTTTTTTTGTTTCCTTTTCTCGTCGTCTTTTGTTTCACTTTGTCCTTTTCTTGCATCGACAACGGCGTTAACCGGCGCGGGCCACACTGAAAGAAAAGAGGACACACACTGGTTTAAGGATTTGTTGCGTGCGAGAACGGAGAGAGAAAGAGATGTGAGAGAGGGAGCATTATCATTGGGAAATTCTCGAAGTGAGGTGTACATAATGTAAATAGGGCTTTGTACATGTTGAACACGTTGTAATGTAAATGGAAAAAATGCGCTGAAAGGGAGCGAAAGGGGCAACGAGAGAAAGGGAGAGAGCGAGAGAGCCGAGTGTGCATGAGGAAGCGAGAGAGGGAGAGAGTGGTAAAGAACGAAAGGGAGAGAGAGAGAACGAGAGGGAGGCGACCGAGACGATCGATGTGAAAACAGAAAAGAATACACTAGATAAGACAAGTTATTAGTAAGTAGTGGATATTACAGTGACTATTATCGTGATGGCGGATGCGTGAGGCGGTTTAACTTAAGTCCCAAGCGTAATTAGTTAATGTGTAAATAAATTAAGCGAGGAAGTAAAAGAAACAAAAAAAAAAAAAACAATATTAAATGAGAGCCCAAGTAATCATTGGATATTTATAAACGATTCCACTAAAGAGAAGTAACGGCGAATGGATATAAAGAAAGAAAGAAAAGAAAGAAAAATGATAAGAAAGAGAGAAAAGAAAGAACGATGAATATACGTAGGTTCGAGGAGAGAAGAAGGGAATGTAAAAATGGAAAATGCGAACTCGAGCACTCGTCCCGTGCGTTAGGTTACTATTGCGAATGAATGGAAAGTTAGGGGAAAGGAACAAAGAAGAACACGAAGGTAGACGAATGCGGAAGAGAGGGGAAAAATGATTGGAGAAAAGAAGGGGAAAGTTTATGAATGGAAATGTGCAACAGTTAATCAGATGGACAGATATACAGTGCATGTTTTATCCTTAGCCGTTTTATAAATATAAATATCCTCTTCCCTCCCCTCCCTTCTCAACCCCCTTCACCCGCGATCTCCATCCTACTCCTCTTTTCACGCGACGAAATAGGCGCGAAGCTGATCTTCTCTCTGATCGAGTACACCTGTCCGTACTGTCCAAATCTCGAGATGTTCCTTTCAATCGTGTGTACTGTCTCTCTTTACTTTTCGTACTTGTTCTCTTGTCTGCAGCATTCGCGTAAACGAGTTTCCGAACGAACCATAATCGTGTCGTCCCTCGAGATACTTAGCGGCTAAGCTTTCGTTTCGCGTGCAAAAAAAAAGAAAAAGAAAAAGAAAAAGAAAAAGAAAAAGAATGGAAAGAATAGAAGGAAAGTGGAGAAAGAAAATCGCATCGGAACGGACCAGGGAAAGAAAATTCGAAGCAATCGCAGAGAGTCAATCCGCGGAAATAGGAACGCACTATGCCACGTATACACGCATCACGTATGCACGATCCACCGGTCATCTGAAAAGTCCTTCCCCACCCAGCCACCCCTTCAAAGTGTTGGAATATTTTTCGAATCGGCTTTTTTCTGAACCGTTTTACCCAAAGACACGAAACAGCAACGGTCGAATTACAGAATTTTTCAACAAACCGGCGCACGATTCCTGTTCACATAGAATTCGTGAAAATTCTGTGATCTTTACCATTTATGTTCTCTCTTTGTAAGTGATATTTAACGAACGTAATTGAAAAATGAAAACGAAAAAAAGACGAAACCAAAAGAAAAAAAAAAAAAA